GTGGCCCAGTGATTGAGTGTCAAGCTATGACAGAAGTCAATGTCATTCCCAGTCAGGACACATGCCCCGGTTTCAGGCTCAGTCCTCAGTAGGAAGTGTGCAGGAGGCAGCCAATTGGATGTTTCTATCTCTCTATCCCTCTCCCTTCCTCTCCCTCTAAACAATCAATAAAAATAAAACACCACCATATTATTATTTTTTAATCTTTCACAACATCAGGGCTGCCTCAGGTTTTGATCTCTCAGAGAACAAGAGCTTTGTATCTCAGAATTCATTGCAGGCAGAGGGCTGTTTTAATGTCTCTCTGAATTTTTTTTTTAATGCTGATAATACATGGGGATATATTTTGATCCTTTTTATATCCTTGTCTTTGTATTAATTAAGCACCAGGCGTCTTGTGGCTGGGGCTTACCTCTCCTCTCACTTGTTACTAACTCCATGGGCCAGTGGCCAAGTCAAGCCTTGTGGGCACTGACATGTTGTTACTCATTAATTCTGCTTGATTTCCTGCTTTGTGGAATCTCTTCCTCATCCTCTTGGCTTTTCCCCCTGCTCTTTTGAAGGCCCTCCCTTTGGTTCGCTGAAGTCATTGTCTTCCTGACATGAAAGGCGCTTCAGTGAGCCAAATGTGTAATTATATTAAGTGGAATAATAAAAAAGGAAACCTGAGCCTCCAATGGCGATGAGTTTTCTCCGTGCACTGCAACCTTGGGCACAAAGAGGAAGACCGCTTCCTTCTTCCTCCTCCCTTTCCTTCTAAACCAAGAGTCAGCCTGGGTCAAGGGAAAATGGACTTGGCTGCCCTTAGGACGATGCTCGGAGCTGTGGCCAGCGGCCAGGAAAAGGCTGCCCCAGTCCTGGTCCTTCCGGCAGAAGTTGTCTTCACTGCCTGGGTGGGTGCCTGATCTCTCAGGACGGAACAGCCATTGGGCTCCATGTGTGCAGTGGAGGGGCTTTCTGGGGAGGCTCAGTAGATCCTGGGATGAAAATGTCAAGACTCTCAGGAACAAATGGCATGCAGCCAGTTTCCAACAGGAACTAGGCCAGTTGCTTTCCAACTTTTAAAATATACAGTGGATGGAGCGTCGGCCTGCGGACTGAAGGGTCCCAGGTTCGATTCCGGTCAAGGGCATGTACCTGGGTTGCGGGCACATCCCCAGTGGGAGATGTGCAGGAGGCAGCTGGTCGATGTTTCTCTCTCATCGATGTTTCTAACTCTCTATCTCTCTCCCTTCCTCTCTGTAAAAAATCAATAAAATATATTAAAAAAAATAAAATATATATATATATATTTGTTGATTTCAGAGAGGAGGGAAGAGGGAGAGAGAGATAGAAACATCAATGATGAGAATCATTGATCGGCTGCCTCCTGCACGCACCCCGCCCCCCTTACTGGGCATCAAGCCTGCAACCTGGGCATGTGCCCTTGACCAGAATTGAACCCAGGACCCTTCAGTCCGCAGGCCAACGCTCTATCCACTGAGCCAAACCGGCTAGGGTGCTTTCCAACTTTTTTATTATGGCCCACAATTTACATCATGACTGAGAGCAAACTCGAGTTTTTCCTGTAGGATACTGTTTGGCAGCATCCCCAGCCTCCACCCACTAGATGCCAGTGGCAGCCTTTCTCCACGTTGTGACAACAAAAACATGTCTCCAGACATTGCCACCTGTCCTTCAGAGGACAAAATTTCCCTGGTGGAGAACCAGTGACATAAATGAATGTACTGCTAGGGGGAAAAACCTAATAGATTTTTGTTGACAGAAATACAATAAAAATCGCCAGCAAAAATAGCAAAGGGAATACAATCTGAGGATGCATTATCACTAGTACCAAGAGCAACCAATGATCCCTGAGTGCCAATTTTATACCTGCTGCTACGCTAAGGTCTTTGCATGTGAATCTTTACTTAATGCCCATATGAGCCCATGAGGTAGGGATCCCATTGTCTCCTTTTTCACCCAAGGACACTGATGTCTAGGGACATTAAATGACTCACTTGAGGTCTCACAGCTGAGGTGGTGAGTCTCATTCTCACACACTGTGCTATGAGAGTTTTTAAACAGTGCACTGAGTACCCACACAGTGGCACCCCAGGAAGCAGTAGTCAGTGCCCTCAGACACTGGGAACATGGTTGAGAAGCAAGAAATAAGCTACAAGTAACCCTGAGGCTCCCATCTGTCTAGATTCCTACAGCAAGGACATGCCTGTAGCTGAGGTCCCAGCCTCCAGTTAGCTCATTGACTTAATTCATAAAAAATTCTAATTTGCTCTTTCTTTCATCAGCAGGCTAATAGAGTAACTTATAGAAGACTAGAGGCCCAATGCACGACATTTGTGCACTGGAGGGGGCGTTCCTCAGCCCAGCCTGCGCCCTCTTGCAGTCCAGGACCCTTAGACCTGATCCCCCATGGATCAGGCCTTAGCCGGCAGTCAGACATCCCTCTCGCAGTCCAGGGCTCTTGTAGTCCAGGACCCCTCACTCCTTACTTCCCGCCTGCAGTGGAGGTGGGAGAGGCTCCCACCACTGCTTCTGCACTCACCAGCCATGAGCCTGGCTTCTGGCTGAGGGGCACTCCCTCTGTGGGAGCGCACTGACAACCAGGGGGCAGCTCCTGCATTGAGTGTCTGCCCCCTGGTGGTCAGTGCATGTCATAGTGACTGGTCGTTCCACCATTCAGTCATTTTGCATATTAGCCTTTTATTATATAGGACTAAAGGCCCGGTGCACGAAATTTGTGAATGGGGTGGGGGAGGTCCCTTAGCCTCGCCTGCACTCTCTCACAATCTTGGACCCCTCAGTGGATGTCTGACTGCCCCTAACCACTTGCCTGTGGGATTGGGCCTAAACCGGCAGTCAGACATGCCTCTCAAAATCTGGGACCACTGGCTCCTAACTGCTCGCTTGCCTGCCTGCCTCATCACCCCTAACCACTCTGCCTGCCTGCCTGATAACCCCTAACTACTCTGCCTGCCTGCACGATTGCCCCTAACCCTCTGCCTGCCTGCCTGATTGCTCCTAACTGCTTGCCTGTCTGCCTGATTGCCCTTAACCACTCTGCCTGCTTGTCTGATTGCCCCTAACTGCTTGCCTGCCTGCAGGATCACCCCTAATGGCCTCTGCCTCGGCCCCCGCCCACCGCGTGCCCCCCCCCCTCCATGGTTTCATCCAGAAGGTCATCTGGAAGGACATCCAGAATGATGTCCAGAAGGTCATTTGGCTGTCTGGTCTAATTAGCATATTACGCTTTTATTATTATAGATTGTTAACACAAGTGGCAAGGTTAAGTTTCAGTTACCTAGAAACGATTTGTTTTCTGGGACAGGGGTCACCGGGATCATCGTCCTCCCACTCTCAGGCCAGGACCTGCTAAATTCCCCTCTGAAGCTGAGCCCTGAAACCAGGGAGCAGGGTGGCAGAAGGCCTAAGATCTGGACAGGAACCTTGCCTAAGTCAGAGCCAGGTGCCGCAGAAATGATTGAGAAGCGTCGGGGGAGGCTGAGCCCAGGGAACCACGGCTGGGCGGTGACCTTGCCTCCCTCTCTCCCAGTGGCAGCCTTAGAGCTCAGGTCCGTGGACCTGCAGAGCCCCAGGAACAACAAGGCGCATCACACGCAGGAGATGGGCCTGAGGCGGCTCATCGTGCGCCGGGGCCAGCCCTTCACGCTCCAACTGCATTTCAACCGACCTTTCCACTGCGGGACCGACCACATCACCTTCGTGGCTGAGACCGGTGGGTTCACCCTCCCCAAGGCTAAGTCCACTTGTCGGGCACCTACCTCTCCTTCCTGAGCCTCCCTTCCTCTCTCCTCCGGGGATTCCCCAGGACCCCTTACTGCTCAGCACCCTATTCGTGTTGTTAAGAAAAGATGTGGCCAGCTCAGCAAACTGAAGTTGTGATTAACAAAAACCAACCTTTAAATACACTACAGGCACTGTACTAAACTTCACACACATTAACTTACTTAATCCGAAACTTTCAGCTGGGTACTATTATGATCCCATTTTACAGATAAAAGACTGAGGCCCAGAGATCTTCAGTGGCTTCCCCAGGGACACACAGTGGCAGTAAAAACCTTAAACCAAAAGCCATTAGCAGTAAGTGGTGGGAGAAGGTGAAGGTCACATAGACTTCGAACCTTACCTTGGGGTCGTTCTTTCCTACACAGGACCCGCACCCACGAAGCTGTCAGGAACCCGAGCTACCTTTGGACTCACCCAGGCTCGACAAGGGAATGTCTGGAGTGCTTCTGACTTCACCATTGACTCCAACTCACTCTTTGTCTCCCTTTTCACACCAGCCAGTGCAGTCATTGGTCCCTACACTCTGAAGATAGACATCTCTCAAGGCCAGGGTTACAGCACGACTCACCCAGTGGGGACTTTCATCCTGCTTTTTAACCCTTGGAGTGCAGGTACAGCTTGCTCACAGGTGGTAATGCTAACCTGATCCATTGGGAATGTTCTGTAAGGTTCTACCCAGAAAGCCCAGAAAAAAACATACTGCATAGCTATGCAATACATTACCTTGTGCTCACTAAAGATCATCTTTACAAGGAATTTTTAGTGCACGATGAAAATGTTCATGGTGTGATTTTTTTAAAAAAAATCTTATATTTCCTCAGGAAAACATAGCACTATTGAGTATCTGTTACACCCTATGGAGAATTTCAATCTTAGGTCACAGTGTTACAAGAGCTTGGTTTTGGTCCCATAAGCTCTCTTTGAAATGTGTGATGTTCAGTGAAATAGATTAGGAGATGGAACACAATGTGATATGTAATTGTATTACACACATGTGCAGAGAAAGAGAGAGAGTGCCCAGAATACACCAACATGTGTGTCTGAGGAGTGGGAAAGAGCGATTTTCATTGTCTTCTTTCCAGCATCAGTGTTTTCCAAATTTCTACAACAAGCTTTTACAATCAGGAAAAGATAATTATTATTTTTTAAAAGTATACATTTTATATATCTGGCATCTAGAAAAACACATTATAGACTTTTAAGGGGTCCACTCTTGATTTCTATTGCCATCAACCCATTGCTTCTCCTTTTTCCAGCAAGATACTTTCATTACCATTTTTCATTTTTATTACCCTGTTTTTTTGGTTCGGGGTTTTACCCCCTCTATTACTCTTACGTGTTCAGAGGATGACGTCTACCTGCCCAGTGAAATACTGCTGCGAGAGTATATCATGATGGACTATGGCTTTGTGCACAAGGGTCATGAACGATTCATCACCTCCTGGCCCTGGAACTACGGGCAGGTAACACTCCCCCGGGAAGGTGGGCTCACAAAGGCTGCTAACAAAACTCAGGGCGTGCGGTGCTGGACCAATTTCCCATCCGGTGAGGGGGGCAAGGAAGGAAAGGGAGATGCCTTTCCCTCTTAGTTGTTAATATTATGAACAACTTAAAACATAATTGAAGTGGGCGGGCTACTGTAGTGAATGTTCATGAACCTGCCTCTCAGTTTCAATAGTGATCAATTTATGGTGAATCTTGTTTCCTCTATCCCAGGGGTTTGCAAACTATAGCCCACGGGTCAAATGTGGCCCACTGTCTGTTTTCACATGGCCCACGAACGAAGCATGATTTTCACATTTTTAAATTGTTGAAAAAGAATTTAAAAATAATATTTTGTGATGTGCAAATTATATGAAGTTTAAACTTCAGTGTCCATAAATACCACTTTATGTATTTATTTATTTATGTTAATCCTCACCCAATGATAATTTTCCATTGATTTTTAGAGAGAGTGGGAGAGAGGGGGAAAGACAGAGAGAAACATCGATGTGAGAGAAACACATTAATTGGTTGCCTCCTGCACGAGCCCCGACCAGGGCCCAGGCCAGGGAGGAGCCTGCAACCAAGGTATGTGTCCTTGACTGGAATCGAACCTGGGACCCTTTGGTCTGCAGGCCGACGCTCTATCCACTGAGCCAAACTGGCTAGGGCATTAAATGCCATTGGAACACAGCTATGCTCATTCGTTTAGGTACCACCTGTGGCTTCTTTTGTGCTATGGGGGCAAAGTTACGTAGCTGAGACGGAGTCCCTCTCGCCTGCAAAGCCTGAAATATTTACTATTTGGTCCTTTACAGAAAAAGTTTGCTGAACCCTGGTCTATACTCCTCCTCCTTGCCCCACCTCCCCCAGCAGCTCATCACTGCATTTATTTTGAATCAAATAATAGTTACCATATCATTTAATTCAGTAATACTTCAGAATATAGCTCTAAAAGATGACTTTCTGAAAAACAGAATCCCACAATATATACAAAATGAGCAGCAATTCTTCAATAACATCAAATATCCAGTCAGTGTACAGAGCGGGGACCTCTGGCTCTGGCCAACTTTTCTGCTCCCAACCACCAGCCACAGCTGGTGCAGCTTCTCTCTGTCCACACACCAGGAGGGAAGAGTCGGGGAAGCAGGGAGCCCTATGGAGGAAGATCAGCGTCCCAGTTCTTCAACTGTGACAACCTGTGTACTTTTTTGGAAACTGAGACAAATGCCAGTGCATTTGGCAGCCAAAAGGACTGTGACATGTCACAAACATGCTATAAACGAATTCACTGGCTTCTCCCGTGCTGAACCCTCTACCTGATTTAAAGGCTCCCCACACGCCTCCCCCTCTCCTCACAGGCCTTGCCCTGTGTTTATCCATCCGATCTTTTCCCACAAGTCCTCCAGAAATGAGACTCTCCAGGCCCCTGCCTTGGTACCCGCCATGCTCAAAGACTCCCCTCCTCTCTCCCTGTCTACCTCACCCTTCAAAGCCCACCAGCTCCAATAGCCTTCTCTGATCTCTTCAGCCAATGAGCATCTTTCCTCTCTGAACTCTCTTTGTATTTCCCACCAGCACCACCCGGGTCAGTGTTGCAGAATTCTCATTTTGATTTATAAGCTCTTCCAAGGCAGAGCCTTATCTGATATGAAGCCCAACCCCCCTACACACCTTCCCTAAAAGTCTGTTATTTCCTTGAAGTTTCAGCATTTTAGACGTTTTCAGTCCTTTCTTTTTTTCTCCCTTGCACTCACTTGGAAGTTTGAAGAGGACATCATAGACATCTGCTTTGAGATCCTGAACAAGAGCCTGTACTTCTTAGAGAACCCATCCAAAGACTACTCGCAGCGGAACGACGTGGTGTATATCTGCAGGGTGGTGAGCGCCATGGTAACGACAGAAGCTTCCCCGCCCATCTGAGGGCAGTCGGAGCTTCCCCTGGGCACGATGGAGACCCACCCATCTGTCCTTTGCAGATCAACAGCAACGATGACAACGGCGTGTTGCAGGGGAACTGGGGCGAGGACTACTCCCGGGGGGTCAGCCCACTGGAGTGGAATGGCAGCGTGGCCATCCTGCGGCAGTGGTCAGCCAGGGGCGGGCAGCCTGTGAAGTACGGACAGTGCTGGGTCTTTGCAGCTGTCATGTGCACCGGTGAGTGAGGGGAGATAGAAGTGCAGAATCGCTTATTTAATCGTCACGATAACCCTTCCAGGTCGGGCTCTGATATCTCTGTTCTCACTTGAGCTGACTGTGGCTGGCCCACAGCCCCTAGCTCAGGAGGGGTGGGCACTCGGCTCTAAACCCGCACGCTCTGTGGTCTTGAGGAGTCCTGCACATCTCTGCACGAGGGAGGCTGACCTGTTGCGATCACCCAGTGATCACACATCAAGGCTATTGGAGCTTCTTTCTGCCACCTGCTTAGGTTTCTCAGCTCCAGGTGAGCCTGGAGTCGGGACAGGTTGGGGGAAACATAAGGGGCAAGAAGATGGTCTGGGAGAGCGGATCTCACCCATAGGCCGAGTTGGAAGCTCCCAGATATTTTCAGAGACATTCTTGGGGAGCTACCATTAGAGATTTGCTACTTTGCTAACTACCCTGAAGGCGCATTGATGGTCTGTGCCTTATCAGTTATTTACAATTTAATGCAAAGTCATTGCTCAGATTGTCTGTCAAGAGGAGGGAAGATGGAGAGTACTGAGGTGCCCCGTCTTCCCCCGTGCAAGGCAGGCACACCTTACATGCTGCCGGCCACTCTGTGGTGCTCAGCAAACATTGGCTGAACTCTTGGGCTGACTCTGAGTTAGAGAATGAGGGAGCACAGAATGGACAGAGACAGGGAACAAAGACAAAGTTCCAGGTTTTCCTGAGAGGGGCAGCATAGCTTGGCAGCTATGTGTAGGAGAGGTTTAAATCTGAGTGTTCAAATCAAGTGACCTCGCGTTACTCATCTGTTTTCACTGTAAGATGCTCAGGACGGTGCCAGCATTGAGTAGAGTCAAATTCACCCTGGGGTGGCGAGGCAGGTATCATGGAGGAGGGCTCAGGCCGTTGGACCCTGAGATGAGCAGGAGAAGGTCTAGGTCTGCGTCCTTGCTCCACCTCTGAGCCTGTCACCACTCCCAGGCCCAGAGTTCTGGGGCCACTGAGCAAGGGCAGAGCCCTGGTCTAGCTCTCCTCCTTGCGAAGCGTTTGTGAAAAGCCCAGGAGCTATGCTGGGGGTGGACAGGTGATTGAAGACAGGCGGTACTCTTTGGGCTCTTGAATAAATTGAAACAAAAGGATTGGTCACTCTCAATAGTCCTTTTACGTTTCAAAGCGCTGTAATCCTCCCAGCGGATTCTTCTGAGCAGATGATGGGATAAACCTTCCCTCTCTGGAAGGTCACACCTGGCTCTTGGATTGATTTCATCTGGCCCGGGGCTGGTGTGCAGGTGTGTGTGTGGTGGCGATCGTGGTGGTGTACTGCCCACTTCGGGTGACTCGATTTGTGAAATCTTAACTCAGCTTTAAGAAGCCTTTGCAGCACTACCTTGACGGCCACAAGAGGATGCTGTTGCCTTAACAAAGATGGCCATTGCCTCATGGTGCTTGCAGGTTCCCTTTGTCTTAGATATCTTCCCCTTGTCTCTGTAAGTCTATCTTTGCTCTTCCATCCATTCTCTGATTTGTTTCTTACCTCCGCCAAACCCTTGTCTTTCTGTGGCATTACAGATCCAGAACGTCAGGACTGAGAATCATCTGTCTCAATTCCTCATTTTGTTTCATACAAGGAGACTAAGGCCTAGATGAGTTAAGCTACTTACCTAAGGTCACACGGCTTCTCTTCTGAAACTGGCCACGGCACTAAAATTTTTAACTTCCTTTTCAAATTATAAAATGTTTTAGGTCCTCTGTTTTTAATTTGGGAAGCTGATGACTGGGAAAAGCCCTAAATGATAAATTGAGTTGTTGTTAATTGTTGTTAATTGTGACCCTCAAATGATCTTCCCCTCCCCAGATTCCACCCCACTACCCCACGCCTAGTGGGAGGGAAACCATCGATAGGACAGGTAGCAGCTAAGTTTGGGGGCTTGGGTGTGGTGCTCTGAGGATGAAGGAGTTACAAGTATGGATCTGCAAGAATCTTTGCCTTCTTTCTCTCCTCCAGCTAGAAAGTTAGAAAGTGTGCCTGGCATACCAGTGATTTGGCTTCCAATGATTCTCCATGCTTTTCTTCTCTTTAGTAATGAGATGCTTAGGTGTTCCAACCCGTGTTGTTTCCAATTTCCGTTCTGCACACAACGTCGATGGGAACTTGACCATAGATACCTACTATGACCGAAATGCAGAAATGCTGTCAACTCAGAAACGGGACAAAGTATGGTAAGGGGCCAACAGATCTCTGTTCTGTCCGCAGGAGGGTAGGGGAACGCTGACCTGGTTCTCTCCAGCTGGAGGCAGTATTGCCCTGTACGTTGTTGCTGATGCTCAGAGAATAAGTTCCCAGCCCAGGAGACTGTTCTGGCTAATTAGGTCATCACATCAAGCTCATTTCAGAAATAGAAGCCTATGGGAGAACATTCTGAAACCGGCAACCAAATGAATGACCGATTGTGCCTCTAAATCAGCCGTGGGCAAACTACGGCCCGCGGGCCGGATCCGGCCCGTTTGAAATGAATAAAACTAAAAAAAAAAAAAAGACCGTACCCTTTTATGTAATGATGTTTACTTTGAATTTATATTAGTTCACACAAACACTCCATCCATGCTTTTGTTCCGGCCCTCCGGTCCAGTTTAAGAACCCATTGTGGCCCTTGAGTCAAAAAGTTTGCCCACCCCTGCTTTAAATTCTGAATTCAGAGTCTGCACTCATCTTACTCTTCCTATTTTGGGTCTTTCTGTTTGCACTGCTCTGTTTTCCCTGTCAGGGCAAAGCTTAGCAGAGCCACCTGCATGGTTCCTTCAGCCTCTCTTGACTTCTCCTCCTCCCTGCCTCACTCCCTCTGCTTGCGTGCTCGCATGCATGCACGTGTGCTTGTCCAGGCCTTAGTCTCCTGTGTCTCTGGGTGTCCTTTATTTTTGTATCTTTAGTCTCTTCCTGCTTCCTTTCTCTTCTGCTCTACCCCAAATCCGATTTTTTTTTTCCAGCCAGTTTCCAGGTAAGACCTTTGAGTTGCATTGAGAACTAGCTGCTGTCCCTCTCTGAGCTCCTAGAGCAGTGATGGCGAACCTATGACACGCGTGTCAGAGGTGACACGCAAACTCATTTTTTTGGTTGATTTTTCTTTGTTAAATGGCACTTAAATATATAAAATAAATATCAAAAATATAAATCTTTGTTTTACTATGGTTGCAAATATCAAAAAAATTCTATATGTGACACGGCACCAGAGTTAAGTTAGGGTTTTTCAAAATGCTGACATGCCGAGCTCAAAAGGTTCGCCATCACTGTCCTAGAGGCTGAAACTTCTTGGATTCAAGAAGCAGGAGTGTCTCTGAGAAGAATCTGTCGCTCCTGTAGAATTCTGTCTGATTCATAGCCTGAATCTAATCATGATGTAACACCAGACAAGCCAAAAATGAGGGCCACTCTGGTAAAACAAACCAACACTCTATTCAAATTTCGATGTAATGAAACAAAGGCTGAGGAACTGTTCCAGATTAAAGGAGACAAGGAATACCGGACAACTATGTGTGACCCTGGACTGGGTGGAAAGAATGCTACAACTATCATTAGGTCAACTGACAAAATTGAAATATAGACATAATTAGGTTTTACAAACATTGTGTCAATATTACATGTATGAGGTAAGGGAAGATCCCTAGTCTAAGGAAATATACACTGAACTAAAAATTTATATATATATATATAAATTTTATATATATATAAATTTTATATATATATAAATTTTATACAGATACACTCCATATCTGTACTGAAAGAAAGGCAATGATAAAGCAAATAGGGCAAAATGTTAACAATCAATGAATTGGTTAGATGGGTATTCTTTGTACTATTTTTGTAACTTTACTGTAAGCTTGAAATTACTTCCAAATAAAAAGTTTTTTAAAAAATAAGAGAATGAGGATATCAAGCACTCAGTATAGCCTGGTGTCTCGTACCTGGCAAATTTGCTGGAATGTGAGTGCTGGCCACCTTCGTCCTTTCTGTAGGAATTTCCACGTCTGGAATGAGTGCTGGATGATCCGGAAAGACCTCCCCCCCGGATTCAACGGGTGGCAGGTTCTGGACCCCACACCCCAGCAAACCAGCAGCGGTGAGTGAGGACCATGGTGGAAGGCTTTGTGGAAAGGCCGATCACGTGACAGGACACGTGAGCAAAAGGCCAGAAAGAAGAGGTATTTTCCCCACTTTATCCCCTCCCCAAAGTCAAAGCAGAGACAACTGTGGGTCAGGGGTCTGACTTTGACATTGACAGCTGGGCCACCCAGATAAATCACTGGACCTCTCAGTTGCTTCCTCACCTATAAGGTGGGGAGGGGGCGGGCGGTGGGGGTTGGGGCTGTGAGGCTCAGCTGAATTAATGGGAACTGGAGAGTGGCCTTCATGCCACTGCCCCTCCCTATCCCATCTCCCTTCTTCCCACAACCCCAACCAGCGCCCCTGGTCCAGGTGTCAGCAGCCAGGCTAGCCTGCCACAATGCCTCTTCCCCACACAGGGCTGTTCTGCTGTGGCCCTGCCTCCGTGAAGGCCATCCGGGAAGGGGAGATCCACCTGCCCTATGACACCCCATTTGTGTATGCGGAGGTAAATGCCGATGAGGTCATTTGGCTCTTTGGGGATGGCCAGGCCCAGGAAATCCTGGCCCATAACACCAGTTCCATCGGGAAGAAAATCAGCACCAAGTTGGTAGGATCAGACCAGCGCCAGGACATCACCAGCTCCTACAAGTACCCAGAAGGTACCCGGGGCCCGGGGGACTTGGGAGGAAGGTGGTAGAACCTCCTTTGTGCTACCTCCCAATGGGAATGGCTCCCACGGCAGGGTTGCTGGGTTTAGCCAATAAAAATACAGGGTGTCCAGTTAAATTTGAATTCCAGATAAATTCAGATAAACAAATATTTTATTAGTATAAGTATGTCCCAAATAGTACATGTGCAATTCTTATCTAAAAATTATTTGTTGTTTATCTGAATTCCAAATTTAATTGAAAGTCCTTGATGTTACCTGGCAACTGTATCCTAGGGTCACATCACAGACTCCTTCTGTCATGGAGTGGAGGTGGCAGCAAGGGGAGAGGTAGATGCACAAGGAGGGAAAGGGCTCCGGGCCTGTGGAAGGGAAGGAGTAGATGTCCCTGTGGAGAAGGCTCCCAGGTAGAGTCAGGCCACCTGAATTACTACTCAAGGTAAGTTTGGACACCTTCTTACTATCCCCCTTGCCTCTACTTTCTCATCTGTGAAATGGGTTAACAGTATTTCAGAGGGCTGATGTGAGGGTTAAGTGAGTTAATACCCAGAAACTACTTGGAACAGTGCCTCTGATGCACAGTAAATGTTCTAGAGAAGTCCAGTTTGGGGTAGTTGGGGTTAAGACTGAATGTTGAATAGCCCATAGGGGGGCAAGAGCTGAGCTTTAAAAGGCTTGAGCATAAAAGGCTTCTCTCTCTCCCCAGCATCCTTACTTCTAAAATACTGGGTGTCCCCCCAAAATGTATACACACACTTTGTTTTTTTTCCAAGATGTTAAATTTTAATGCCTCTAGCACATTGTCCTAGATGGGGCTTTCAATACATGGCTAGCCCGACAAGACAACATTCAGAAAATACCCTGAAAAGAAACACCAGCCTATATTCGGAGATGAGGGTAGGTGGAGCTATTTTCTTATCCAACTTGATTCGACACAAATAAATGCAGCTGGAGGGTAGCCCCGTGAGAGCGGTGGGTGGAGAGCCAGCACTCAGGGCCAACATGAAGTGGCTGCAGAAGAACCTCTTAGCAGGAAGGAGACAGATGTTAGCTCCTGTGACCAAACTGTGGACTGGGGCGCATGATCCAGAGACTCAAACCGCATCAGCACTCTTCCCTCATTTCTTTTCCTGGTTTTGTTTTCTCGGTTTTCTTCCTTCGGGCACAGCACTTGGACACCAGGTGCCTCTAGTTTGCATCGTTAAAGCACAGGAGCCAAGGGTTAAAAGTCAACCAGCTCTACCTGCACCGTCCATCCGTGTATTCCAAAACCATTAAGTGAAACACTTACGAGAAGCTTTGTAACGGAGGGGTCAAGCGGGGATCCTCCCCTGAACCCCCGGTTCAGCCCGACATCGCCAGCGTGACACTAGGATGCGCCCCAGCAATGAACCGCAGGCCGACAACATTCACCCAGGCTCTCGCTGGGCACTTAGACCTATGACTTCCCAGGGAACATGTAAGATGGAGAGATAGACATTATCAGTAAGAAATGGGCCAAATGCAAGAATTGTGACGCCGCACAGGGCAAATATCCAGCTTCCCCACTAGGGCAGGAAGAGAGATGGGGAGGGTGCCGTCGGAGAATGAGAGACCTAAAGGACGAAGTAACCACATACAATGCGGTAAACTGGACTTCGCTTGGATCCTCGGCAAACCAACAATAAAAGGCATCTTTGAAACAGAAATTTGAACGTACAGTGAATATTAGGTGATATTCAGGAATTACCCTAACTTTTCAAGGTGTGATAATGGCTGAGCAATTACTTATTTTTTTAAAGATACTCATCAGAGGACATTTAAGTGGGAAACAACTTGCTTTGGAAGTATGGCGTTGTCCATACTGGCCCAGCCTCCACCACGGTCGCCTCGAGGACCGAGCCTCCCCCGCTTGCTGCGCCCTCGAAAGTGCCGCGCGCAGAGCCGTGGGCGGTGCTCACCGCTGCCCGCCTGCCCCGCCCACCCAGTGCCAAGGCTTGACGACTCTCAGCCCCGCCTCGCGCTCATTACCCAAGGTGCCCCGGGCGCTCATTTGCATGTCCTGCGCGACAGGTGAACCCCGCAGCTCAATCGCTGCCTAGCTATCACCGCGACCAACACGCGAGCCTCGGGAGGGGATCCCGTGGCATCAAATTCCCCTAACCTTTCCTAGGTCACCGCCAAAGGACGCGACCCAGTCACCGGAACTGTAAAGGAAGGAGCTCGCTGGGCCTTAAATACCTGGCGGGCGGAGGTAGTGCCGTGCTCGCTTCGGCAGCACATATACTAAAATTGGAACGATACAGAGAAGATTAGCATGGCCCCTGCGCAAGGATGACACGCAAATTCGTGAAGCGTTCCATATTTTGCACCCCGCTCTTGTGGGCTGGGAGAAGATGAGTCAAAGCACAATTTGTGGCACTTAGCGGAATCCGTGACTTTTGCGCTGTAAAGATATCCGTGTAAGGCACTCTGTGAAATGAAAGCAATGCAGAGGTCCACACTTTGAATAATTATAAAGACAGTGCTTATTAAAACACATTTCATTGCCCTGACTGGTTGGCTCAGTGGATAGAGCGTCCTGCTGCGGACTGAAGGGTCCCAGGTTCGATTTCCGGTCAAGGGCACGTACCTTGGTTGCAGCACACCCCCAGTAGGAGGTGTGCAGGAGGCAGCTGATCGATGTTTCTAACCCTCTATTCCTCTCTGTAAAAAATCAGTAAAAACAATAAAAATATATTTTAAAAATACATTTCATTTTCAAAATTGAGCCATTAGTTATTGAAGTGTGTATACATATTGGGGGGATAACCTATATTTTAGAAGTGAGGATCCCGGGGAAAGAGAAACCTCTGGGTTTGATGATGATGATAGTGATGACAGTGTCAATATTGATGACAAAGAACAACTCATTTAACCCAAAGTTTTGGCAACTCTATGAAGTAAGGAGGTAGCCCCAGGTTACAGATGATAGGACTGAGCACTGAGAGATTAAAGGCCTATGATGGAGGAAGGATTTAAACCCAGCACCAAGCAACGCCAGTCCCCTTGTTCTCAGCCATGATGCTGTGTTGCCTCCCATGCAGCTCTTCCTGTGGTTAGGGATTCAGGAGGGGAGCTGTGAGTTGTCTGGTGGCTCGTTTTTCAACCTCTCCCACTAATGTCTTTCCTGTCTCTTCTTTCCTCCAGGATCTCCCGAGGAGCGCTCTGTGTTCATGAAGGCATCCCGGAAAATGCTGGGCTCCAGGAGGGCCTCTTCCCCCTTCCTGGATCTGCTGGAGTCCGGGGGCTTCCGGGATCAGCCAGCGCTGCTGCGGCTTCACCTGACCAGGACTCCGAGTGGGGCCAGGACCTGCTGCTGACGCTGCATGCCAGGAGGGTGCCACACAGAGCCCACCCCCGGGGGCCCCTCAGACTGGAGGTGCGCTTCTGCGCCCAGGCCCTGCTGCACAAGGGTGGGACCCGGCAGCCCTCTGGAGGCAAATAGTGCACTTGAACCTGGACTTTGGGGAGGGTGAGTATGAGGCAGGCCTGGAAAGTTATCTACAGGACGGAGGGGAACTTTGGGGCCATGAACAAAGCTGGGCTGGACCAGCCAGATCACACAGAGACCCCCACATCCCCCACATACACACACACCTCTGATGCCATCCCACCAGGTGACACCTAGCAGCGAACTCTGGGTGCAGTAGGGGCAGGGTAAGCCTGCTCTCTGTCTCTCTCTCACATATATGCACAGACACTTTCACACCCATCTAGACTCACACACAGTTCCCCCTCCCCCCTCATTCTGAGACCCGTTCCCTAGACCAGTGGTCGGCAAACCGGGCTCGCAAGCTACGTGCAGCTCTTTGGCCCCTTGAGTGTGGCTCTTCCACAAAATACCACGTGCGGGCGCGCATGTACTGTGTGATTGAAACTTCGTGGCCCATGCGCAGAAGTTGGTTTTTGGAAAGGAGATAGACTAAGCAAGTATACAAGACGAGTGTGGATGGGAGAGTTGGAAGGGGTCAACCTCAGCGAACGTACCTCAATCAGATTGAGGACATTTTTAGCAAAGGCCAGCTTAGGAGTACCCTAATTAAGTTAATAACAATGTACCTACCTATATAGTTTAAGTTTAAAAAAAATTCGCTCTCAAAAGAAATTTCAATCGTTGTACTGTTGATATTTGGCTCTGTTGACTAATGAGTTTGCCGACCACTGCCCTAGGCTCAAGGTGTCTTTTATCTGTGCTTAGAGATACAGTGGCCGCTCTTGCTACCCTACAACAATTACAGAAACAAGCTGACCGATGAAAAGCTGATTCGAGTGTCTGGCATCGCAGAGGTGGAGGGGACCGGGAGGTCCATACTGGTCCTGAAAGATATCTCTCTGGAGCCTCCCCACTTATCTATTGAGGTAAGGCATCTGGACACAGACGGGACCCAGGGGCTCTCTGACTCACCCAACCCGGGGGTTGGGGGGAAAGCAGCGAAGGAGACACAGTCACTGTCTTGACACCAAATAGATGATCAAAGCGCCGTATGGTGTGAGAAGCGCAGTTCTGTGCTCTGTACGAAGCGCACGAAGGCTTCCCAGAGGAGGCGACGTTTTACAGAAGATCAAATGGAATGTAGGCTATAGGAAGACACTACACACAGAGAGAGACGAAGGCATTCTAAGTGAGGAAGTAGCTTTGCAGAGGCAGAGACAAGAAAGGCAATGACCGGGAGATGGAGTGGAGGAGAGAGATTTGAGAGAGAGACCACAAGTCAAATTCTAAAGGCGACTGCTGATAAGATGTGGGTGACAAGGAAGAGGGGAGCAAATGAAAGATGAGCCTCAGATCTCAAGTTCAGAGGCTTGAGTGGCTGGTGAGGCCATTGGGTGGGGAAGGAATACAGGTGATGGAAGGATACATGGAGGAGGGCAGGGTATTCCCCACCTCCTGTTACCAGGACTTCCTTCCCCTGAAGCTCCTTTCCCCACCTTCCCCTCCTGCTCTGAGAAACATCCCCTCAGCCCAGTCCCAACCTGGCTTTGCACCTGGTGGCTTCCCAGCAGCACACCCAAGCCCCACTGAAAACGAGAACTGAGTGACTCCATGTCAGAAACCACCTGGCCGCCTGATGGTTTTCACCTGGGCATGCTGCCCGGCAAGTGATGTCAGGCGGCCTCCGCAAATGGTGGGCAGGATCACAGAGCAGGCAGCCTGGTGCCTAGGTGAGAGTCTGTCCATTACCTGAAGCCTGGCTACAGCAGGATCCGATGCAAACACATCAGATGCCAGTTGGCTATTACATGGTCCCCATAGGTAAGGGACCTGGGGATGATGTGTGTCTATGCTGGGTTCCTGTTCCTTTTACCTGTTTTACTTTGACACCCTAATCAGCATACAATGGACATGTTTCTTTTTAACACAGCATTCCTATAGCCACCACCAGCTGGTTGGAGCTGACACTTACACTGAAAGCTAATTGCCATCTAGAACTAGATGGTAGAGAGGGAAATAAGATTTCAACTTGGTGCCAATTCCCGATTGATGGTGGCTTCTTTCTGAGACAGGCCAGGGTGTGTGTTAACCTTGATTACTCTCATCTCACATTCTTTTCTCCCAACTGCAGTGTCTTAGCTCTAAATAAACAGTCCCTGGTGGTCAACAGAGGGATGGGGGAGTGAGGTTACTGAATTGGAATGCAGAAATGAGGTCAGTTGCCCACAATATCCCCGTCCTCTCTCCACACAGGTGTCTGAGAGGGCTGAGGTGGGCAAGCCACTGAGAGTCCACATCACCCTCACCAACACCCGGACGGTGGCTCTGAGTCACTGCACGATGGTGCTGGAGGGAAGTGGCCTCATCCATGGGCAGGTTTCAAATGAGTAAGTGCCATCGTCTGTTAAGAGGTTCCTCGTGGGGTCACAGGATGGCCCTCAGCCTCCTGGATGGTGCCTCTGTGCACCCATGTTCCCCCGCCCCCTCCCCCCTCAGGGAAGGTTGGCTCTGTGCTGTCGGGGAGGTGGGAGGTGCTTGCCGACCAAGGTGGGTAACAGGTTACCCACTGCAGCCACTCCTCAATGCTCTAACAAGCTCTTTTTTACTTTCAGCCTTGGGACTCTGGTGGCAGGACACACCATCCAAATCCAACTGGACCTCCACCCCTTCAAAGCTGGGCCCCGCCAGCTACAAGTCCTCATCAGCAGCAACGAAGTCAAGGAGATCAAGGGTTACAAGGACGTCTTCGTAGCAGCAGCCAGGCCTTCCTGACACGCCCACCTCCCCCCAGGAACGCTCCCTGCCCTGATCCAATTTCCTGATGCCCTCCTAGTACCCCCAACCCCTCCCCAGGTCCCACCCTGTTCTCCTGATGCCTTCCTGCACCCTCAGCCCCTCCTCAAGACCACCCCTCCCCTTCTGACACCCTCCCTGGCCCCTTGCAGTCCTTCCCCTGCCCCTGCCCCCATGACCTCCCGGTCCCCTCCCTGTCCCATCTGACTCCTGAAGGGGTAGTGTTATCTGTGCTCCTTCTCTCTCCTCTTCCCTGCCTGCCTGGGGGTATATGAAGCTCCTTTGTAACCGCTGTGCATCTTGGAAGGAGACAATAAAGACGTCTTTGATTGATCACTGGTGTTCTGGCTTCTGAGCTAATAAGCTACTCATTGCTACCAGCCTGTCCTCTTGGCTGCCTGCTGTGTGGCCGGGCCCTCCCTGCCCTTTTTGTCTTCTCTCTCCCCCTTTAAGGGATCATGCACAGAATACGCCCAACACGAAAAAGCTCAACACGATCCCTCGAACTCAGCCTCTCTGGAATCAAGGAAATTGGTAGCCTGCAGGCAGAGGTAGAGGAGCTCTGAGGAGGACAGTGGCTGCAGTGCTGCGGGGCCTGGATAGAAGCTGCCCAGCGGGACTTCTCTGCTGCTGGCCTGAGAGCACAAGGACAGCTGGGCAGGGCCACTCAGGGCGGCCCCAGGATAGATGGCTGCTCCCCAAAACAGGCCCTCACTTTCCCTGTCCCCCATCTTCCCCTCTCCGTCCCTCACCCACTTACTTCCCCCAATCTTTTATCCTCTCCAAGGCACCCCAGCTGGCCCCACCATCTCTTTCTTTCCACTGTTTTTGTTATTTTAAGGACAGGGAGCCACTCCTTTCTATTTTCTTCCTGTGGCACTCAAGAGCTTTTGTGCTCATTCCAGATAATTTGGAAAGAACAGAAAAGGGGAAAAGAATAGTCACTGATTTCTTCTCCATCCCAGAAGAAATCTCTGCTCACATTTTGCCATATATCTTCTGGTCTCTTTTCCCCTTCATTGTGTGCATGTGCTTTTCTTTTCTTTCTTTTTTTTATTTTTGTTTGTTTTGTTAATCCTCACCTGAAGATATCTTTTCCATTGATTTTTAGAGATACTGGAAGGGAGGAGGGAAAGAGAGAGAAAAACATTGATGTGAGAGAGACACATTCATTGGTTGCCTCCTGCATGCGCCCTGACTGGGGCTGGAAATCACACCTATGATACAGGTACATGCCCTTGACTGGGAATCGAACCCAAGACCCTTCAGTCCCTGGGCCAAAGCTCTATCCACTGAGCAACAGTGGCCAGGGCTGTGCTTTTCTTAATTGTTGTCAATATTACAGATGTTCCCCATTTCTCTCGCCCTTTGCCCCCCTTCACCTAGCCCACCCCAGGCCTTCACCACACTGTGTCCATGGGCTATACATAGATGGGTATATGCTCTTTGGTTAATTTCTTCCTGTCCCCCCACCTCTGAGATCTGTCAGTCTATTTCATGCATCCATGTCTCTGGATCTATTTTGTTCATCAGTGTATTTTGTTCATTAGATTCCACATGTAAGTGAAATCATGTAATATTTATCATTCTCTAACTGGCTTATTTCACTTACCATATTAATCTCCAAGTCCATCTATACTGTTGCAAAAGATAAGAGTTCCTTCTTTTTTACAGCTGCATGTATTCCATTGTGTAAATGTACCACAGCTTTTTTATCTACTCATCTACTGATGGGCACTTTGGCTATTTCCAGATCTTAGCTATTGCAAATTGTGCTGTTATGAACATAGGGGTGCATATATTCTTTCTTATTGGTGTTGAATATATTCCTAAAAGTGGGATCACTGGGTCAAATGGCAATTCCATATTTAATTTTTTTAGGAAACTCCATACTGTTTTTCATAATGGCTGCACCATCTCCACATCCTTACCAGCCCTTGTCATTTGTCGATTTGTTGATGGTAGCCATTCTGACAGATGTGATATCTCATTGTCATTTTAATTTGCATCTCTCTGATGATCAGTGAGCATTTTTTCATATGTGTATTGGCCATCTGTATGTCCTCTTTGGATAAATGTCTATTCAGTGTTAAAAATTTGCCCATTTTTTAACTGTATTGTTTGTCTTCCTGGAGTTGAGTTGTGTGAGTTCTTTATACATTTTGGAAATTAACCCTTTACCAGATGTATTGGTAGGGGCAGAAATAGAATGTTGGGGTGTTGTAATGTACCCCGCGAGTAAATACTCAGGACGCAAGACCAAATTAATGAGTCATTTAATAAGCCAGCGACCGAGAGGGAGTTATGGCTCCAAATCTCCCAGTCCCGAAATGGTGGCAACATCAGGCTTATATAGGCAAATATTACAAAGGTATCGATTACATCTTTGAGTTTGGAATGAGGAACCTGGTTTGCACAAAGCAGTTACAGAAGCGAAATTGAGCAAGTTAGTTATCTATAAAAATTAATTATAGTTTTGGGTCTTCGGATCACTGAATCAACGGAAACACATTACCTGGAGCCGCTGAGGCAATTTACAGTTAATTGTGCTGTCCTGGTCTTGGGACCACTGAGTCAACCGGAATGCATTATCTGTAGCCACTGAGGCAATTTAGGGTAATTGTGCTGTCCTGGTTTCCAGGTACAGAAGAATGTGCTTCGATAACCAGTAAGATCACAATCAATGGGATATTCAAACCTCCAACAATGGAGTGTTCAATCGATTGGGATAGCATACATAAGTTCAGAAAATCAAAGTAACTTTTCTATTGTTTTAGCAAGCAAATAAGTACAGAAGCCAAGTCAGCAGGGTTAAAATTTTAAACAGCAATTCCCACCAAGCATGGTTGCCACCATGCTTCAGGGGAACCAGCTAGAATTGTAAGAAATATTAATCAGGCTCTGTAAACCGTGATTGTTTTGTTCTGATTAAAGAAGGCACATTCTAACCTGGCTGGCAGCTGCACTCAGTACCTGGGAGCTCACCTGGAAGTGCAGCCCTTCCTCCCCTTTTGGAGCTGCCTATTATCATGGAAAGATTAACAATTTTGTTGCAGAAACTGGAGCCAGAAACCAGAATCACCAGCCCTTGAGGACCCCAGGCTTTGCATATCACTAAGGCCTTTGAAGACCCCAGCCCTTTTGCATATCTGTAAACTGCCCATTTGCCCTTTTCCCTACTTTCCTCTGTACTTCTACCAATATAGGCAGCCGGCTATGGTGGGGTGCAGAGCAGATTTTCGTGGATGACCTGCTGCTCTCCTATATTGCCAGCAGTATTGGAATAAACGTTCATAATGATTCAACCCTGTTGGTTACCGTATCATTGGTGAAAATGTTCTCCCATACAGTAGGCTCCCTTTTCATTTTGTTGATGGTTTCTTTGGCTCTGCAGAAGCTTTTCATTTTGATGTAGTCCCCTTTGTTTATTTGTTCCTTTGTTTCTCTTGCTCTAGGTCCTAGAATCTAGGAGATGTATCGGTGAAAATACTGCTATGTGAGATGTCTAAGATTTTAATGCTTATGTTTTCTTCAGGTATTTTTATGGTTTTGTGACTTACTTTGATGTCTTTTAGCCATTTTGAGTTTATTCTTGTATGTCATTGTGTTGTTGTTTTTTAAGTTATCATTACATGGCTATCATAAAAAAAAAAAAAAAAAAAACCACAAAAAAACAAGAGAAGCCTAGCCAGTTTGGCTCAGTGAATAGAGCTTCAGCCTGCGGACCAAAGGGTCCCGGGTTTGATTCTGGTCAAGGGCATGTACCTCAATTGCAGGCTCCTCCCCACTCAGGTCCTGGTCGGTGCTCGAGCAGGAGGCAACCAATCGATGTACCTCCCTCACATCGATGTTTCCCTTTGTCTTTCCCTCTCTCTTCCACTCTCTCTAAAAATCAATGGAAAAATATTTTTGGGTGGGGATTAAAAAATAAAACAAAACAAACAAGCAAAAGACAAGCGATAACAAAAGTTGGTGAGGATGTGGGGAAAAGGGAACCCTTGTGCACTGTTGTTGAAAATGTATATTTGTTCAGCCATCATGGAAAATAGTATAGAGTTTCCTCAAAAGTTAAAAATAGAACTACTATATGATCCTACAATTCCACTTCTGGTTATATATCCGAAGGAAATGAAACCACTATCTCAAAGAAATACCTGTACTGTCATGTTCACTGACAATAGCCAAGATATGCAAACAACCTAAGTGTCGTTAGACTAATGGACAAAGAAGATGTAGTATATACACAATGGAATATTGTGCAGCCAGGAGAAACAAGGAAATCCTGCCACTTGCTACAACATCTATGGCCCTTGAGGGCATTATGCTAAGTGGAGAGAAGTCAAATGGGGAAAGACAAATACTGCATGATCTCACTTATACAGGCATACCTTGGGGATATTTCAGGTTAGGTTCCAGACTACTGCAATAAAGCAAGTGGCAATCTCTTTGCTGGTGGAGAATCTTGCCTTCAACTTGCAAAATGGTCCATCTATGAAGTTCAATAAAACAAAACACAATACAATGAGGTATTCCTGTATGGGGAATCTATAAAAGCTGAACTGGTAGAAACAGAGTGTGGTGGTTACCAGGGGCTGGGATTGGGAGAAATGAAGAGATGTTGGTCAAAGGACATAACCTTCTAGTTAGAAGAATAAGTTCTGGAGATCTAATGTATAGCATTGTGATCATAGTTAACAATACTGTATTATATACTTCTGATCTTAAATGTTCTCACCACAAAAAAAGAAATATTATGTGATATGATGGAGGTGTAACGGTGGTAATCATATTGCAATATATAAGTGTTTCAGATGAAGATGTTGTATACCTAAAATTTACACAAGGTTATGTGTCAACGATGACTCAATAAAAAATTGTTATCATTACGAATTGACGCCTCTCCATCATGGAAAATTGGGGCCAACCAGAAGTGCCGAGAAGGAGCACATCCTCTCTTGGATGCTCAGGCATGGCTTCTTCCTCTGCTCCTCACCTGCTCGGTGAGTCTGCAGGTTCACTCGACTCCTCTCTCCACCCTCTCCTCCTCCTCCTCCTCCTCCTCCTCCTCCTCCTCCTCCTCCTCCTCCTTTGTTTTGTATTTATTTTGCTTTTGCAGGCTGCTTTGGGCAGGAAGGGCAGGAGCCTGCACACCCACACTCCACCCTGTGTGCAGCTGCACCTGTCCCCATTAGTGCCGAGGCCATTTCTATGGGGCTGTCACTGCTGTGCCAGGTGGCTCCCCGCC